TCTGGTCCAACTGCCTGCTAATGGTCTGGGAAAAGCAGCAGAAGATGGCCTAGGTGTTTGGGCCCCTGCTACCCTCATGGGAGACCTGGAAGAAGCTCCCGGCTCCTGGCTTCAGCCTGGCCCAGCGCTGGCCGTTGCAACCATCTGGGGAGTGAACCAGTGGATAGAAGATCGATCTCTCTCTCTCTGTCCCTCTCTCTGTAACTCTTTTAAGTAAATAATTTTTTAATTAAAATTTCTTTATTATAAAACCTTATAAACACTAAAATATTTTGGCTTAAACAGCTTTATTTTGCCTTTTTGTAATGAAGATGATCCATTAACCTAGTTCTATTGTTTTATAACTTTGCATGACATTTTACATAAATAATACCTGAAATCAGTATATAAACAATTCTTTTGAGCCAGTTTGTCCTCCTCTGCATTTGAAAAGAACAGCTAGGGTAATTCCTTCATCTGGTCTGGTTCCCCACCCATCTGAGTGCTTATCTGATGAATGTGCCTTCTATTCTCAGAGCTTCCTAATGCTCCAATACAAACAAGAGGGAAACTAGGCCACTTCTGCCTTTGGGGACCAGGGGGACACTCAGTGGGCGGCTACAGCCTCCTCCTCCTTCCTCCCCCACCAACTGCCTTAGATAGTTGGATGGTTTCCCCATGTGAACTCAGTGCAAACTCACACCACCACGTTCTTTGAAAATCATCGTGGCCAGGAGAGGAGTCTCTGCATGGGGTAAAGGGTGGTGGTCCCATGGGAAGGACCAAGCCAGGCACAGAGTCTCCCCCCGGGACTAGACACGGCCCAGGCTCAGAAATCAAAGAAACGTAAATACTCTTTGTCTTTCTTTTTTTTTATGTCATTCGACTAAGAAAAAGAAAAAAAATCTTTGAGTTACAGCTTCACCAAGACTATATGTATGCAAAATACCTAGAGCTGCAAAGCCAGCCAGCATGGACAAAGGGGGTCGACCAGATGTTTACTAATGCCTAGGCGACTAGGTGGTGTACTACGTGGTGGATCCAGGTCTGGCAGTGGGCAAAGATAACCACCAGCTCAACAGCCAAGCTCCTCAGTGGGCACTGCACAAGGCACTGCCCAGAGTGTTGGATACACAGCTTAGTGTGTGCTCTTCATCTATAACTATTATCAGTACCCGTAATATGTAGGTTGTAGCATATTTTTAATATTTCTAACACCTCTAATGATCACAGCTGGCTTCTGAAGACATCATTTCTACCTCCTTGGAGATGTTCAGTTCCCTCTCTCAAGGTCAAAGTGCAGGGGGTATGCAAAGCCCACTGCTCCCCTGAGGAGGCTGTATCTGAGCCATCCTAAACAGGTGTGAGACAGGAGCACCCGGGTGTGGGGTGTGAACTGGAGAGGGCAGGTCTGAATAGAGCTGAAGGCGGGCAGAGCCCCGGGGGAAGGTAGCAGAGGCAGGCTGGGAGGCCAGAGTAGCCACGGGAAGGAACTCAGGGAAGAAAATCCTCGCTGGCCTCTGAGCCACGCACCCTCCAGCGTCAGTGGCCCCGTTAACACCGAGTGGTGGAGGCAGCCCCGTCCTGAGTGGGCTTGGACCCTCTTTTTGTGCAGCTTTGCTGAAATCACAACCTGCCTGGAGCTTTGTAGAAAATCTTGGTACACACGCCCAGCCTCCACCCTTGCCAGCCAACCCTCGCCCCTCAGGCCTTGGCAGCCTTGGCTCCACACTCACTGTGGGCCACCCAGACATCACTCTGGACGTTCACGTCGGTGGGATCATGTGACGCACGCTTCTGCCACCTGCCCCTTGGGCCTTGCATCGTGATTCCAAGATTCGTTCGTGTGGGTAATAAATACATTTTTAAAGACGTAACTGAGACTGATTTCCCAGAAGAACTGATGAGGGGAGGGAGAAGCAGTTTAACTAAATAAGAAAAAAAGGGAAATAAATGAGATATTCTCACACCAAATGTAGTACACATGCATACCTGTAACTTACTAAAAAAAGACTCAAAAATCATCTAAACAGGAATATAACTTTTTGAAGGCTTTTGGGCAAATGCATGATTCATGGATAAAAAATGGCTCTCACACAATGTTGCTACTTTATATTATGGATAGCAAGGACTTTCAAATGCCAAAAGGTGTGAATTTGACTGTATCTCAGGGGTCCTAAGAGCCAGTGGCCAGGCCAAATTGACCGTTACTATATGCTTCCTTCATTTCTCCTCTGAAACGGAAGCTCACCCAGGGCAGTATCTGTGAAAAGCGTGCAGTTGTTCCAGGCTTTGCCTTAGCAGGTGATTGTAAATATTTGCCCCACAACATGGAAACCTGAAGGACCCCAGAATCTCCAGTTCCTGAGCTTCTTTTGGACACCTGTGGCAGGGTGCATTTTGGGAAGGAAAAGAGCTGAACTAGCAACACACAAATAGTCTCAAGTTTCTGGCTCTCCTTATTCTCCTTGTAAATGTTGGTTTGCAAATGGATCTTTTCTGGGATGAGTCACTGCCATTTGATTCACCAGAGGATAAGACACGGAGATTAAAGAAAACACAATCTCCATAGGGTGGGCAACTGTGATGTGAGATATTTTTCAGATGAAAAAAATGAAACTCGGAAGGCATATCTGACCCAATAGGTGTTGGGGCAGGTCCATATGGACTGGGTCGGGGGCCAGAGCCCCATTAAGTCTTGGGTGGGGAGATGGTTTCCCATTTCATTGTCAACGTTCTCCACTTGGCTTTGGAAGGAATGACGCAGGCCATGGTCAACTGCGTCAAAGTACACACTTAAGCACATATCTTTCCATTTTGTGTCCACTTCCTAAGTCAGTTTTGTTCTTGGCAATATATGCTCGAGCTGAATGATGGAGGGATAGATGTCAAGAGTAATCCAGATAGCACAGTGTTTAAGAACTGACTAACCCCTGTGACTTTCTCCTCTGTTTTATAAAAATACAAAGCTGGGGGCTGGTGCTGTGGCCTAGAGGGTAAATCCACCATCTGTGACGCTGGCATTGCATTTGGGCGTTGGTTCGAGTTCCGGCTGTTCCACTTCCAGTCCAGCTCCCTGCTAATGTGCCTGGGAAAGCAGCAGAATATGACCCAAGTGCTTGGGCCCCTGCACCCATGTGGGAGACATGGATGAAGCTCCTGGCTCCTGTTTTTTTTCTGGTCCAGCCCTGCAGTGGCAGAAATTTTGGGGAGTGAATCAGTGGATGGAAGCTTGCTCGTGCTCTTTCTGTCTCTCCCTCTCTCTGTAACTGTAACTTTCAAATAAATAAACCTTAAAAAAACCCTAAAGCCTCCCAATGTTGTTTTCGTGTTCTTATTCCCTTCCCTTTGTGCCTAATTAAATAAGTTTGGGTTTTCCATCATACGATGCTGTCCTGTCACTCTCTTGACCCCATGTGACCACTTTCTTTGCCTTCCTTGGCCTTGCCAAGTACCATCTGCCCTCGAGTTTCTGTACTTTCTGTTCCCCCTGTCTACAACACTCTTCTCCAATTCTGTCCCTGGATGTCATCATATACTCACTCACTCAAGCCTCAGCTATGATGTCATCTCCTCATATGGGCTGCCTGGGACTGCCTACAAGAAGGTGCCCTTGGACAGTAGGTTTAAGATGTCATTCACCTTTTGTGTACATTTTGGTTTCTTTGCAAAAGTTACTACTTTCTAGTACCTCATTCATTGGTAGCATTGTTAATGGCATTCATTAGAAAATGAGCCATACCAGAGCAAGAAATGGGTATAAATCTATACTACAGCACAGGCACCAGGTCATAGGGTAGGTTCCACATTTATGTGAGTGGATTCATGTTTGCATGGATGGGCAATGAAAACTCTCCATGAACATTTATTTCATTTGTTCATGATGATCTTATGCTAGAACATATGATAGGAACTTTACATAGAGCATGTATTATCCTTGCAAAAACTCACCATAGTGCCATTCCTGCTAATGCATCTAGGAAAGCCATGGATGATGGCTCAAGTGCTTGAACCCTGCCACCCATGTGGGAGACCAGGATGAAGTTCCAGGATCCTGGCTTTGGCCTGGCCCAGCCCTGGCCATTGGGACCATTTAGGGAGTGAAACAGTTGATGGAAGAGCTTTCTGTCTCCCTCCCTCCCTCTTTCTCTCTCTGCCTTTCAGATAAATATAAATACATTTTTAAAAAATATAATGCAAAATATAAAAGGAAACTCAAAGAGGCCAGCATTGCAATTGACAAAGGGCACGTGGTCAGCTCCAGGATCCAGATCCACACCTGTCTGAGTCGAGATCCTATCCACTATTCAACCCCAAACACAAGTACTCTACTGATTCATATCATCCTTTGAATCAGTGTATGGAAAGTACTGAAAAACAAGGAACTAAAGGAAATTAACTCAGATTTATGGATGAAGTTAACTAAGTGAAATTAGAGGTTCGCCATTTACAAGTTTTCCCCAGACTTTAAAGCACCTCACTGAAAACTGTGCCCATAGATGAGGAAAGTCTGCCTCCTAGAGTGTGTGTGTGGTGTTACACTTTGCCCAGTTCTGTCAGCAAAAATACAAAGTGAAGGAAACAAGAAGAGGAACAAAAATAATGGACGAAGGAGGGGAAGGAGTAGGAGGATGAGGAGGAGGCAACCACCATAAGAACAAAAACACGACAGATGACAGCCCAGGCTCACAGTGTTGGAACTTGTGTTGTGTTTTGGAAGTACTTCCACATACTTTTCCTGTTGACATGGATCATTTGCTCAGTCAGTCTCAAAATTGTCTGGGAGCCAAAAGTCCGTCTCCTTAGTTTCTACCAACAGATCACAGGCAGTCTTGGCTTTGGTTAATTCTTGCTGTCATTTCCTGGTCCAATGCCAAGGTGATCCTTTGACTCCTCCCCTCATTCCTGGGAGGAGGTTAGGTGGCTTCCTGAGGGCAATAAATAGAGCAGTTCTGGGTTCTCCAAAGTGGATTCTTTGTTTCCTGTTATTTGTGAGTGAAGAGCCCGCAAGAGCTGCCTCAACATGAAGTGTGTGATAGCTCTCATGTTGGCAGCCCTGCCCCTTTACTGCTATGCAGGTGAGTTTGGTGCAGGGAGAACTGCTTTTGGATGGGGGATTGCTGCCTGAGCCCCTGGGAAACTCCCGGTCCCCAAGCCTCAATACAGGTCAGTCCCAGTGCAAAAGGTCTGGGTGTAATAGCCTAAGGGTCACCACTGGTAACAAGTGATCAGGGGCAGTTCCCTCTTGGGCTTTGTGTGTAGTGCCTCATTGCTCTTCAGGGTGCCCCACCATGATCAGAACTACCAGGATGAGTCTCTGAACTGAATATTGGAACCTGCTACTTCACTGGGATAAGGGAGATATATGAGTTGTGGGCCCCATGGCATTGGATCCATTTGGGTTTCCTGAAGAAGGCCCTCTGTGCCTTCTCTTTAAATATGGAAGGAAACAAGGGACCTCCCAGAGAGAAGGCTCGGGCTGCCGTGTCAAACAATAACTTGGGAGCCACACAACACACATTTATGGAGTTGATCTGGGTCCTCCCATAAAGCCATTTTGCTCCCAGGACCTTCACATTAAATCCTGACGGGGAGAAGGACTCACTTTCTCAGGAATCTCTTTCCAGTGATGAAGATGCTTTGGCAGCAGATTCTGCTCAGTGCTGGAGCATCACTTGTGTAGGGAGCTTTGTGTGATTTCAAAGCTTATTTAGATAGGTTACCTCATCGATCCCAAATATGGTGCAGACTGGCAAAATGGGGACTCATTCACAGTCAGCTAGACAGAAAATCGCAGAGCCAAGAGTGAAAACAGTTCTTGTGAATTAAGTCTTCAGCTTTTTCCTCCACAGTAGTTGCCGTAGAAGATCACTTCATGAACAGGAAGTTCTGTTTGGTGTTACTTATTGATGCAAACTAAGATAAACCTAATAGAGCTAATGGACAGTATTCTAGATCCAACTTATTTACAAGACTTGCAAACCCTATTTGATGCTCTGAGTGATAGTCGTGAAGTCTGACATGACTTTGTTTTTTATTTTTATTTTTTTTTTACAGGCAGAGTGGACAGTGAGAGAGAGAGAGAGAGAGAGAGAGACAGAGAGAAAGGTCTTCCTTTACCGTTGGTTCAGCCTCCAGTGGCTGCTGCAGCTGGTGCACCGCGCTGATCTGAAGCCAGGAGCCAGGTGCTTCTCCTGGTCTCCCATATGGGTGCAGGGCCCAAGCACTTGGGCCATCCTCCACTGCACTCCAGGGCCACAGCAAAGAGCTGGACTGGAAGAGGGGCAACTGGGACAGAATCCGGCGCCCTGACTGGGACTAGAACCCGGTGTGCCGGCGCTGCAGGCGGAGGATTAGCCTATTGAGCCGCGGCGCCTGCCCTCGTCATATTTACAAGACCAGTGCTCTAACCCCTGAGCTATAGGATCTCACAACCTCATAATATTAAATATGTTCCACCAAGTCAGAATATCATGAGTGCCCTTGTCAGACAAAGTTGTATAGGGTTTGACTTTTATGGGTTGGAGGTAATGGAAGGGGCAGATACTGGGGGACTTAAAGGGATCCCCAGAACCTAAGTTTTCTATTTTTACCTGAGAATTCTACTCCACAGACCATAACTTTTCTGAATCTATATCTCAATGACTGTGTAGGAATATGATTCATGCTTTGTGTATTGCACAAAATGGGTTCCTATCTCTGGTAATAAGCCCATTTTCTCATGTTTTCTTCCAGGTTCTGGCTGCCAACTCCTGGATGATATGGTCACGAAGACGCTTGATTCACAGATATCTCTCACTGACTACCATAATTTTTTTAAGAATTTGAGCAGTGGTGCTGCTGCTGAAATGGCTGTGAAAGATTTCAAACAGTGTTTTCTCATGCAATCCAATGAAACTCTGAACAATATCAAGGTGTTTCTGGTAATTTCAGTTTCTTCTTTTTCCAACTTTTAAAAACAAATTTTATGTATATCATGTATACAGATTTAGGTACTTTCCACCCTACCCACCCCCTGCCCATGTCTGTGCCCTCTCTCCTCCTTTCCCTATTATTTTCCTTCTTAATTTTTATAATGATCTACTTTTAGTTTACTTTATATTCATAAGATTAACATTACACTAAGTAAAGTGTTCAACAAATAAAAGGAAAAAAATGCTGTTCAGATCTGTAAACAATCATCAAAGCTCAAAATATCAATTTCACTCTTATACATTACATTTTTGATACTCTATTACTTACCACAGATCAAGGAAAATGTGGTATTTGTCTTTTTGGGACTGGTTTATTTCATTAAGTATAATGGTTTCCAGTTGAGTAATTTTTATTGCAAAAGATAGGATTTCTTTTTTTAAATGGATGACTAGTATTCCATAGTGTATACATACCATAATTTCTTTATCTGGTCATCAGTTGATGTACATCTGGCTTGATTCTGTATTTTAGCTTTCATATGTTGATTTCATTTTGTTTGGGTAAATTCCCAGGAGTGGGATTGCTGGATCATATGGTATATCCATTTTCAGCTTTCTTAGGTAACTCCATACTGTCTTCCACAATGGCTATCCTAGTTTACATTCCCACTAACAGCAGATTAGGGTACCTTTTTCAACACATCCATGCCAACATTTGTTGTTTGTAGATTTCTGTATGAGAGCCATTCCAAGTGGAGTGAGATAAAATCTCACTGCGGTTTTGATTTGCATTTCCTTGATGGCAGTGTTCACGAGTATTTCTTCACATGTCTGTTGGCCATTTGAATTTCCCTTTTAGAAAAATGCCTGTTCAAGTCCTTTTCCCATTTCTTTTTTTTTTCATTATCCACCCCCCCCCAAAGAAACCTTGAGTACAAATTCCATAAGTACAACTTTAGGAATATAGTGATTCTTCCACCATACCCGCCCTCCCTCCCACACTTTCACCTCACCTCCTCCTCCCTCTTCCATTCTCAGTCCCATTCTCCATTCAGCTTCATTTTAAATTAACTTTATACACAGAAGACCAACTCTATACTAGGTAAAGATTTCGACAACTTGCACACATACACACACACACACACAGTTTGATAACAAGTTTTACAGTTAATTCTAATAGTACAACTCATTGAGGACAAAGGTTCTGCATGGGAAGTAAGCACACACAGTGACTCCTGTTGTTAATTTTACAGTGCTCTTACGTATGACATCAGTGATCACTTGAGGCTCTTTTTTTAAAAGATTTATTTTATTTATTTGAAAGACAGAGTTATAGAGAGAGATAGAGACAGAGAGAGAGAGAGGTCTTCCATCTGCTGGCTCACTCCCCAGATGGCCACAATGGCTGGAGCTGCACCGATATGAAACCAGGAGCCAGGAGCTTCCTCCGGGCCTCTCACATGGGTGCAGGGGCCCAAGCACCTGGGCCATCTTCTACTGCTTTTCCAGGCCATAGCAAAGAGATGGATTGGAAGAGGAGCAGCTGGACATGAACTGGCGCCCATATGGGATGCCGGCGCCTCAGGCCAGGACTTTAACCTGCTGCACCACAGCGCTGCCCCCACTTAAGGCTCTTGACATGAGCTGCCAAAGCTATGGAAGCCTTTTGGAGCCACAATCTCTGTCAGTATTTAGACAAGGCCATAAGCAAAGTGGAGGTTCTCTCATCACTTTAGAGAAAAGTATATCCTTTTAATGGCCACTTCTTTCCTTGGGACACCACTCACAGAGATCCTTCATGTAGGAATTTTTTTTGCTATAGTATCTTGGCTTTCCTTGCCTGAGATACTCTCATGGGCTTTTCAGCCAGACCAGAATGCCTTAAGGGCTGATTCTGAGGTCAGAGTGCTATTTAAAGCGATTGTCATTCTATGAGTCTGCTTTGTGGACTGCTTCTCATGTTGGAACATTCTTTCCTTTTGAATTCTATTATTATTACCAGACACTTGATCTATTTATATGATCCATTTAACACTTAATCCTATCTATATGATCACTTTATCACTTTAGATGGCATTTTTACCACCCAGCTTAATAGGATTTGGGATCCCATGGCAAGTTTTTAAACTGTACCCTTAAAAGTAAGTCTTTAGGTATGTATGCAGAACTATACAGCTTCATGTGGGGAGCAAACCGGACTAGACTGTTGCTGGAATTAGGACTTGTTCTGTGCATCTGCTCTCCCACAATATGGCGCTGGGAGAGAAGTAAACAGCTTCCGCACAGCTGCCTCCAGTTCAACCAATTAACTGTAGGACTTGCTCCTGATTGGAGAGCAGCGTACTCGGCGTGTGGGTAGCCGAGTTGGGATTGGCGGAGAAGGACTATAAAGGAGGAGAGAGACGGCATGCACCAGGAACATCTATGGGGAACATCTAAGGGAACCCGTGCAGCCCCCGAGAGAACCGGCCGGCGGTGTGCCGCTCCCCTGCGGAAGTGGGGAATGCGGCCAGGGGGAACTGCCCTTCCACGGAGGTGGAAGGGATAGTAGCCAACCCGGGAAGAACCAGCAGCAATCCCGGGGAGGGCCGAGCAGACGAAAGAACAGCGCAGGGTCCTGTGTCGTTCCTCCACGAAGAGGGGGAGCGACAGCTTCACAGTTACAAACTTCTTCCTCCCTTTCTTATACTCACTCTTATTTTTACTAAGACCTATTTTCAATTGACTTTATACACAAATGATTAACTCTATGTTAAGTAAAGAGTTCAATGAATAGTATGAAAAAAAAAAAACCCTGTTCCTCAACAGTGAAGATAAGGGGTGTTCAAGTCATTGCTTCTCAAAGTGTCAATTTCACTTCTACAGATGTTCTCTTACGTGCTCTATTAGTTATCACAGATCAAGCAGAACATATGAATTTGATCCTTTGGGACTGGCTTATTTAACTGAGTATTTTTTTTTCCAGATTCATCCATTTTGTTGCAAATGACCAGATTTCTTTCTTTTCTTAACTGCAGTGTAGTATTCTGTAGTGTGTGTATCCCATAATTTCTTTATCCAGCTTTCAGTTGATGAGCATTTAGGTTATTCCATCTCTTAGCTATTGTGAATTGAGCTGCAATAAATATGGGATTGCAGATAACTCTTTTATTTGTTGATATCAGTTCCCTTGGGTAAATTCCCAGGAGTGGGATGGCTGGGTCATATGGTAGGTCTATATTCAGATTTCTGAGGTATCTCCAAACTGACTTCCATAGTGGTTTTGCCAGTTTACATTCCATCAACAGTGGGTTTGGGTACCTGTTCCCCCACATCCTTGCCAGCATTTGTTGTTTGTTGATTTCTGTATGAAAACCATTCTAACTTAGGTGAGGTGAAACCTCATTGTGGCTTTGACTTGCATTTCCCTGATGGTTAATGATCCTGAGCATTTTTTCATATTTCTGTAGGCCATTTAGATTTCCTCTTTTGAAAAATGTCTGTTTAAGTCCTTGGCCTATTTCCTCACTGGGTTGTTTGTTTTGTTGTTGTGGAGTTTCTTGATCTCTTTATATATTCTGGTTATTAATCCTTTATCAGTTGCAAATAATTTCTCCTATTCTGTTTGTTGCCTCTTCACTTTCCTGAGTGTTTCTTTTAGAGTACAGAAGCTTTTGAATTTGATGTAATCCCATTTGTTAATTTTGGCTTAAGCCTATGTCTCTGGGGTCTTTTCCAAGAACTCTTTGCCTGTGCTAATGTCTTGAAGGGTTTCTACAATGTTTTCAATTACTTTGATAGTAACAGGACATAGATTTAGGTCTTTAATCCATTTTGAATTGATTTTTTTTATTTTTGACAGGCAGAGTGGACAGTGAGAGAGAGAAACAGAGAAAGGTCTTCCTTTGCCGTTGGTTCACCCTCCAATGGCCGCTGTGGCTGGCGCGCTGCTGCCGGCGCATCGCACTGATCCAAAGGCAGGAGCCAGGAGCTTCTCCTGGTCTCCCATGGGGTGCAGGGCCCAATCACTTGGGCCATCCTCCACTGCACTCCCTGGCCACAGCAGAGAGCTGGCCTGGAAGAGTGGTAACCGGGACAGAATCCGGTGCCCCGACCGGGACTAGAACCCGATGTGCCGGCGCCGCTAGGCAGAGGATTAGCCTAGTGAGCAGCGGCGCTGGGCTTGAGTGGATTTTTTGTGTAAGGTATAAGGTAGGGGTCTTGCTTTATACTTCTGTGTTTGGAAATCCAGTTTTCCCAGCACCATTTGTTGAAAAGACTGTTCTTGCTTCACAGATTGATTTTAATTCCTTTGTCAAATATAAGTTGGCTGTAGATGCTTGGATTGATTTCTGGTGTTTCTATTCTGTTCCATTGGTCTATCCATCTATTTTTGTACCAGAATCAGGCTGTTTTGATTATAACTTCCTTGTAGTATGTTGTGAACTCTGATATTGGGATGCTTCCAGCTTTATTTTTGTTGTATAAAATTGTTTTAGCTATTCGAGGTCTACTGTGCCTGACTTAGGCCATCTTCTACTGCTTTCCCAGGCCATAGCAGAGAGCTGGATTAGAAGAAGAGCAGCTGAGAGTAGAGCTGGCACCCATATGGGATGCCACGTTTCAGGCCAAGGCTTTAACCCACTGCACCACAGCGCCAGTCCCAACAGTTCTTTTCTCTTAAGACTTGGGATGTGTCTCACCATTCTGTGCTAGCCTGTAGGGTTTCTGATGAGAAGTTTACTGTGAGTCCAGTTGGAAATCCTCTGAAAGTAATCTGGTGTTTCTCTTGCGCACCTTTTAGATTTTTTTTTTTTTTACTGTGGTGAGTTTGATTACAACATGTCATGGTGAAGATCTTTTCTGCTCATGTCTATGAGGAGTTCTATGTGTTTGCTGTACTTGGATGTCCTTTTCTTTCTCCAGATTGGGGAAATTTTCTGTTATTATTTCACTAAAAAGGCCTTCTAATCCTTTTTCTCTTTCCATGCCTTCAGGAACTCCTAGAGCCCATATGTTGGGTTGTTTAA